TCTCTCTCTGTCTCTGTCTCTCTCTGTCTCTGTCTCTTTCTGTCTCTGTCTCTGTCTCGGTCTCTCTGTCTCTGTCTGTCTCTGTCTCTGTCTGTCTCTGTCTGCTTATCTCCTCTTAATTGTCTCTGTTTGCTCTGTTTGTTTTGCTGCTGCTAGCTGTCTCCTTGTCTCTCTTATTGTTGCAGCTGCGTATACACCTGAACTGTCTCTCTTTCCTGCTGTCTCCTCCTGCTGCGTATGTTTGCATATAAAGTGTCTCCTTGTCTATTTTTTTGTCTCTTGTGTCTCCTTTGTTTATTATTTATTTCTTTTGCTTCTGTCTCCTTTGCAGTCTCGCCGCCTAGCGCAGCAAACTTTAAGAGAAGCCTGTGGGGTGTACGTGGGGATCCGATCCCCGCTGCTGCGCCTCACGTTGCAGCTGCTAGAGGCGAACACACAGCAGCTGCAGGATACACCTACACAGCAGCAGCAGCTGCAGCAGCATGAACAGCAGCAGCAGGTAAGGGGTCTTGCTGCTAGCGCGGCTGCCTGGCCTCTCTTTGCTATGCACTCAGGTGTCTGCTGTCTCTTCTTAGCTGTCTCCTTTCTGCTGTCTCCTTTCTGCTGTTTGCTGCCTCTGGTCTCATCTCTGGTGTCTCCTTTTGCTGCTGCTGGGGGGTGAAAGAGAAGCAAAAGAAACAGAAGAAGGAGACAGAGCGGGAGCAGCAGATAGTGCAGCAAATAGAAAGAGACAGATATACACCGAACAACAGAAAGACATTGGAAGCAGCAGCAACAGCATCTGCTGCTGCCGCTGCTGCTGCAGCAGCAGCAGCAACAGCAATAACAGTCTCCTCAAGGAGACAGACACCGGAGCGTTTTGTCTTCTGCTTTTCAGGCTGTCTCCCCCATGTCTAACAACAGCAGCAGCCCATCGGATACAGCAGCAGGTGAGCAGCAGCAGCAGTTAGCTGCCGCTGAGCAGCAGCGGCAGCAGCAGTAGCAGCAGCAACAGCAGCAGTGCTCACGTAGGGTGCTTCAGGGCCAGCCGGGGGAACGAAAACAGCAGCAACAGCAACAGCAGCAGCAGCAGCGGTTGTTGTATTAATAGGGGGAGTATGTCTCTGTCTCCTCAGCAGCGTTTGTCTCTGTCTCTGTCTCTGTCTGCTGTCTCCTTTCTGCAGCAAGTGCTGTCTCCTCGTCTGTAGAAGGGACCCCTCATTCTCCCTCTGCACCGACCCCCACCAACAGCAGCAGCAACAACAACAGAAGCAGCAACAGCAGCAGCAGCAGCAGCAGCAGCAGCAGCATGGCAGCAGCGCTGCAGCACGCTCGTCTGACGGGTGCTGCTCACATATTAAATTCACCTTCGATGCTGCGGCGTCTCTTCATTGATCTGCGAAGTTTGGCGCAGTGCTGCAGGTGTCTCCTTTCTGTTTTGCTGCTGCGGTTAGAGACAAACTCGCTGCAGCAGAGATGGTTTGCTGTAGCAAATGCTATTCTTGCCAATAGAGAGGCCCTCAACAGACACAGTCCTTTATTCCGAGAAGAAATCATTGAGGTCGCACTCGCTGCTGCTGCTGCTGCTGCTGCTGCTGCTGCTGCTACTCATGCTGCTGCTCATGCTCATCCTGCTGCTGTTTACGCTGCTGCTGCTGCGCATGCTGCTACTCATGCTGCTGCTCATGCTCATCCTGCTGCTGCTTACGCTGCTGCTGCTGCTGCGCATGCTGCTGCTGTTTGCTGCTGCTTATGCTGCTGCTGCTCCTTATGCTGCTGCTGTTGCTGCTGTTGCTGCTGCTGTTGATGGAAGGGAAAGGCTTCTGCTGCTGCTGCTGCTGCACATCCTTGTGGACTCTAGTGTGCTGCTACGTCTGGTGCTGCTTCTGCTTTTTCTGCTGCTATTGCTGTGTATTCGTTGCTGCTTTTTCTGCTCATGCTGCTTCTGATCTTGCTGCTGCTGCTGCTGCTGGTGCTGCAGGGCCTAGTGAATCCTACTCTGAAGCGTTTGCTGTGCAAGGAGAGGGTGTCTCCTTCTGTCTCCGGAGGCGTGCACTGGCGTTACTCTTTAGTTGGGGGCTCATTTGCTGTTGTCTTTAATTCGCCTCCTGCTGCTGCTTCGCTGCCGCTGCTGTGGAGGTGGCTTGTTGCTGCTGCAGCAGATCCGCTAGAACCCCCAGTTGTTGCTGCTGTTGCTGCCTTCGGGCTCATGCAGCTGCTGCATTACCTCAGCAAACATCAAGCTCTCATCCCCACCGATAGTAAACCCTAAACCCTAAACCCTAAACCCTAAACCCTAAGCCTGCATTGGCACACCCACAAATGGAGCCCTACCACCGTAGTTGCTGCTGCTGTTGATGCTGCTGCTGCTGCTGTTGTTGGTGCTGCTAATACTTGCGCTGCTGCTGCTGTTGTTGCTGCTGCTGCTGCTAATCCTGTTTGCTGTCGCTTGTACTACTTATGCTGCTGCTGCTGCTGCTGCTTATTTTCTGTGCTTCCGCCTGCGCCTCTTGTGCTGCTGCTGCTGCTGTTGCTGTGTAATGCAGTGTTAGCTACGCTGCACTCCCCACAGACACTGCAGCGCCTGCTGCAGCGGCAGGTGTCTATACACCATGAGAACATTAGGGGCGTGCAGGGGGGCTACGGGTGCAGCAGCAGCAGCAGCAGCAGAGCAGCAGCAGACAACAGCTTCCTTCTTGTTGCTGCAGTTGTTAAACTATTTAAGACTTGGCCGCAGCAGCCTTCCCCCCGTCTCTCTCGTCTGCTGTCTCTTCATAATATGCTTTTTACTAAGACCCTTCTAACCTTCTTATATAGAACACAGCACATATACAAGCAGCAGCAGCAGCAGCAGCAGATGGAGGTGGATGCTGGACCAGCAGGAACAGCAGTAGGAACAGCAGCAGCAACAGCAGCACCTGCTGCTGCTGGATCATTCAGCGAGCTGCTGCAGCAGGGATTGTCTCCTGTACTTGAAGAGTTGTTTGATGCTCCCAGCACAGAATTAGATAAACATATTACGGCTATTGAAGTTGCTGCTGCTGCTGCAGCAGCAGCAGCAAAGTGGCAGGATGCCGCATGCAGAAACACCTTGTGGGAGATCCTCTGTCCTCTCATGGTCCGATACATAACCCTAAACCCTAAACCCTAAACCCTAAACCCTAAACCCTAACTAGCTCCTTAGACCTTAACCCTAAACCCTAGACCCTAAACGCGAACGAACTAGTTATGCCTAAACCCTAGACCTTGGGAAGGAAGCCCCCTAGGCCCTGAACCCTAAACCCTAATATCTACGATTTGCTAAACCCTAAACCCTAAACCCTAGTGTGGTGTTTGTGCTGTCAGTCTAAGAGCTTCCCTCAGTTGGATGATGAGAGATTAGCTGCCTGGGCCGATGGTTTGCGGTTTGCATTATGCCCCTCACCTACGCCTCTGCTGCTGCAGCAGCAGCAGCAGCAGCAGCAGCAGCAAGGACGGGAGCGGCTGAGGGGAGCAGCAGCAGCAGAAGCAGCAAGGTCTAGGCTGAGGCCCTTCATGAATTTCTTTATTGATGCTGAGAAGGCAGCAACACCGCAGGAGACACTGCTGGTGAGGAGACACTTAAATATAAATAAAGGAGACAGACAAATTTAAAAAAGAGACAGAGAACCTAGATATCGAGGTAGAGATATCTGCTACTGTCGGTGCTGCTGCCTTTGCTGCTACTGTTGCTGTTGCTGCGCCTGCTGCTGCTGCTGCTGCTGCTGCTGCTACTGTTACTGTTGCTGCGTCTGCTGCTTCTGTTTTTCTGCTGCTGCTGATGCTGCTACTGTTACTGTTGCTGCTGAGCCTGCTGCTTCTGCTTTGCTGTTGCTGCTAATGGTGCTTCTGTTACTGTTGTTGCTGCTGCTGCTGCTGCTGCTGCAGTGTGTGCCTACGGGAGACTTAGGGCAGGCTTCTTCTGGGGCCTTAACTCGGCAGCTGCGGCTGTACTACGCGTTGGTGCTGGTATCTACATTTTCTGCTGCTGCTAGCTGCAGCAGCAAGAGCGGCAGTTGCTGCAGCAGCAGCAGCAGCAGCAGCAACGGGAGCTGCTGCTGCAGCTGCGGCTGCTGCTTCGGTGCTGCAACCTTGAGAGCGGGCCAGGAGACGATGAGGCGCTGCTTCGGTCATCCCTACAAACAGGTGCGGCAGCATAGCAAGTGTTGCCTAGGGTTTAGGGTTTAGGGTTTGGGGTTTAGGGTTTAGGGTTTCGGGTTTAGGGCTCAGGGGTTTAAAGCGGAGAAGTTAGGGCTCCGGGTTTATGCAGGGCTTCATACAACGCACGCAACTTTAGGCCTTATGGCTTAGGGTTTAGGGTTTAGGGTTTAGGGTTTAGGGTTTCGGGTTTCGGGTTTGTGTTTCAGGTGCGGGAGGAGGTAGCGCGGCTTGTCGTTGCTTCGGTGATTGGCTTCAACAGAGACGAGCTGCTGCAGCAAGAGACAGACAGGAGACGCTGGCTTGCTGCAGAGACACCAGAAGCAGCAGCAGCAGCAGCTGCTGCTGCTGCAGCGGCTGCTGCTGCTGCGGGTTGCAGCTGCGGATGCGACCCCACTGCTGCTGCGCAGCAGCTTAGGGTGTACATGCAGCAGCAGGCAGCATTGGCCTTGAGCCCCCTAGCAAAGGGGGAGTCTCCTACTGCAGCAGGTTTGTGGCTGCTGCCGTTGCTGCTGCTGCTGTTGCTGCTGCTGCTGCTGCACCTTGTGTGTCCCTGCACGCTTATTTTTACCTCTTCGGTTGCCCTCGTTGCCGAACGTAGACGCTTTGCGCTTACATTTAAGGGCTTGTGGTTTGCGGTTTAGGGTTTAGGGTTTAGGGTTTAGGGTTTGTGCTGCAGAGCGGGAAGCAGGGAAGAGCAGGTCTCCATTTTTATGTGTTTGTTTGACGGCTTTAAGCTGCATCGCGGGCTTAGCAGCAAAACGAGATGCAGAGACACTCTCTTCCTTGGGCGCTGCAGCAAAGCGTTCGTTTGAGGTGTACAGACACCTCACAGCAGCAGCCCCCGCTGACCAGCAGCAGCAGCAGGAACAAGAGGGAGTGCTGCTGTCGCTGCTACTCGCAGCAAGCAAACACCCAGACTGCGATCTCAGCAGCAGCGGGATTATTGCTGCTCAAATCTGCTGCCTTGCAACGCAGCAGCAGCAGCTGCTCACAGATGTGCTGCTGCGCTACAACCCCCTCCAGCAGCAGCTGCTGCTGCTACAGCAGCAGCAGCATAAACAGATTCGCAAGCCTTTGCTGCTGCAGCTAAGAGACTTTGTCTCTTCTCTTGTCTCCTTTATGAGGCATCCGTCATGGAAGGTTCGAGCCCTCATCTTATCGCTGTTAGAGGTAACACTTTGCTGCTGCTGTTGCTGCTGCTGCTGCTGCTGCTGCTGCTGTAGGGCTGTCATGTTGAGTGTTGGTCTCATAGAGCGTTGCAGTTGGCGTTGCTGCTGCTGCGGCTCTGTCTTTGATTCTTTTTCGCTGCTGCGGGTGCACATCTGCTGCTGCAGCAGCAGCAGGATATTCAGCTGCTGCAGCAGCAGCAGCAGCAGATTATTCAATTGCTGCTGTTTCTTTATGGTGCGTGTGCGCATCATCATGCAGCTGAGTGTAACACAGCATCGGTTCTTATTATGTAAAGATGCTGCTTATAAGGAGACACTTAAAGGCATGCTGCAGGGCCTAGCAGACAGCGAAGCAATAGTAAGAGCAGCAGCAAAAGGGTCTCTGACTCCGCTGCTGCTATCAGCTACAGAAGAAGAATGCGCGTAAGATTTAATCTGTCTCCGTTTGTCTTCTACTTACTGTCTCTTATTTTGTGTTCGGCTGTCATCTGCTCTCTCCTTTTGTCTCTTTATCTGTCTCCTTTTGTCTCTTTGTCAGTCTCCTTTTGTCTCTTTATCTGTCTCCTTTTGCCTCTTTATTTGTCTCTTTGTCTGTCTCCTTTTATCTTCTTATCTGACTCCTTTTGTCTCTTTATCTGTCTCCTTTTGTCTCCTCCTGTATATTTTTATCTGTCTCCTTTTGCCTCTTTATCTGTCTCCTCCTGTCTCTTTCTGTCTCTTTCTGTCTCCTTTTGTCTCTTTGCCTCTGTCTTTATTTGTTTTTATTTGTTTTGCTTTTTATGTCTTTGCTTGGTTTTGTTTATTGTATTTGTCTCCTGCATGCGTTTACTTCTTTTGCTTATTTGTATATATTTATTGTATTTGTTCATATTGCTGTCTTTGTTTGTTGCTGTTGTTTATTATATTTATTTATTTATATATATATTTATTTATGTTTGTTTGCTGCATTTGTTTGTTTAGGTTTTACTCTCGCGTATTTTTATGTCTTGCGGGGCCTGCAATATGCGGGGGGCGACAGCAGAAGCATAAACAGCAGCAGCAACAGCAGCAGCAGCAGCAGCAGCAGCAAGAGGCAGCAAAGAAGAACCCGTTAGGGGGTGTCTCTGGTTTAGTGTCTCTTGTTGCAGTGTCTCCTTATTCTGTCCCCTCTTGGCTTCCTCAAACAATCACAGCACTCGCACTCTATGCAAACGCAACGCAGCCAGATGCAATACGCGTAAGCCTGCTGCTGCTGCTGCTGCTGCTTCTCGTGTTGCTGCTGCTGCTGGTGCTGCTGCTGCTGCTGCTGCTGCTGCTGCTGCTCGTGCTGCTGCTGCTGCTGCTCGTGCTGTTGGTCGTGCTGCTGGTGCTGGTCGTGCTGTTGGTCGTGCTGCTGCTGCTGCTCCTGTTGCTGCCCGTGCTGCTGCTCCTATTGCTCCCTGTGCTGCTGCGCGTGCTGCTGCTCCTGTTGCTGCTGCTGTTCGAGCTGTTGCTGGGGTTTGCTGGTGGTGCTGCGGATGCTTATGTTGCTGCTGCTGTTATGTTGCTTTATCGATACGAGGGTATTTAATGTATGCTGTTGTTATTGTGTGTTTATTGGTGGGGTTGTTGTTGTTTGTTTATTAATAGGGTTGTTGCTGTGTGCTTATTAATAAGATTGTTGTTATTGTGTGTTTATTGGTGGGGTTGTTGTTATATGCTTATTAATAAGATTGTTGTTATTGTGTGTGTATGAATAGGGTTGTTGTTGCATGTCAATTATTAATAGCGTTGTTATTGTGTGTTTATGGGTGGGGTTGTTATTGTATGTAAATTAATAGGGTTATAGCTGTATGTCTATGAATAGGGTTGTTGTTGCATGCGTATTAATAGGGTTGTTTGTGTGTGTTTATTGGTGGGGTTGTTATTGTATGTAAATTAATAGGGTTATAGCTGTATGTCTATGAATAGGGT